AGGCATTAGCGAGACAAGATGGACGCAAGCTGGACAAAGACGACTGTTGACAGGAGAGCTGTTGTTGTATTCCGGACATGAAGAGAGCGACGCACCCCACACACAGGGAGTAGGCTTCATGTTGTCCAAGCAGGCACAGAGAGCACTGATTGGTTGGGAGGCACATGGTTCCAGGATCATCACAGCATCCTTCAGAACTAAAATGAAGAGGATTAAGATGAATGTTGTACAGTGCTATGCTCCAACCAATGACAGTGAAGAGGGGGACAAAGACTATTTTTACAATAGACTTCACAAAATATTAGAGATTCTCCCAGACAAAGACATTACCATCCTTATGGGAGATTTTAATGCCAAAATTGGACCTGACAACACAGGATATGAACAAGTCACGGGGACCCACGCTCTGGGAGAGATGAGTGAGAATGGAGAGAGATTTGTGGATCTGTGTGCACTTAACAACTTGGTCATAGGAGGTAGCATCTTTCCTCACAAGTGGATCCACAAGAGTACCTGGGTATCGCCAGCAGGCACGATAGAAAACCAGATCGATCATGTCTGTATTAGCAAGAAGTTCAGAAGATCTTTGCAGGACGTTAGAGTTAGAAGAGGAGCAGACGTAGTGTCCAACCATCACTTAGTGGTGGCCAGATTGAAGCTGAAGAAGAACTGGATAGACGCGTCAGATAGAAGAGTGAAGTTCAACGTTAGCCTTTTGAAGGATCATAAGATCAAGGAAGATTTTGGACTGACGCTGAAGAATAAGTTTTCAGTACTACAGGATCGGTCTGAGGAAGAGGAAGACAGTGTATCCAACAGATGGCAGAAAGTGAGAGAGACACTTAGGTCAGCATGCCAGGAAGTGCTTGGAATTAAGAAATATCAGCAGAAAGAGTGGATCACAGCAGAGACCTTGACTAAGATAGAAGATAGAAAGAAGAAGAAGGCAGTAGTTAATAACAGCAGGACTAGAGCAGCAAAGGCTAAAGCGCAAAAAGAGTATGCTGAAGCCCATAGAGTAGTGAAGAGGAATATTAGGAAGGATAAGAGAGATTATGTGGATGGACTGGCAGCAGAAGCGGAGCAGGCAGCATACAACGGTAATATGAAACAGCTGTATGACATCACCAAGCTGTAAGACTGTCTGGAAAGTTCAGCAAACCAGAGCGTCCCGTCAAAGACAAGCAGGGAAAGTCTATAACAGAAATAGAACAACAGATGAATAGATGGGCGGAGCACTTTGAGGAACTCCTGAATAGACCAGCACCATTAAATCCACCAGACATTGACCCAGCCAACGAAGACCTTCCAATCAATTGTGATAGACCAACCAGAGATGAGATCAGAAAAGCCATCACTATGATGAAGAATAGGAAGGCGGCTGGACCTGACGATATTCCAGCAGAGGCCCTGAAAGTAGATCTGGATGTTTCAGTGGAAATGCTGTATCCCCTCTTTGAGAAGATATGGGAAGAAGAAGTGATTCCGGCAGACTGGAAAGAGGGATATCTTATTAAAATCCCCAAGAAAGGAGACCTCAGCAATTGTGCCAACTATAGAGGAATCACACTTCTGTCGGTGCCAGGGAAGGTCTTCAACCGAGTCCTCTTAGAGAGAATGAAGGATGCCGTCAACCCACAGCTACGAGATGAGCAAGCAGGTTTCCGGCAAAATAGATCATGCACGGACCAGATAGCAACGCTCCGCATCATAGTCGAGCAATCTATGGAGTGGAACTCCTCTTTGTACATCAACTTTGTTGACTATGAGAAAGCATTCGATAGCGTGGATTGAGAGACTTTCTGGAAGCTCCTTCAGCACTATGGCATCCCAGCAAAGGTGGTCAACCTGATTAAGAACTTATATGATGGCATACACTGTGGAGTGATCCATGGAGGGCAGCTTACAAACAGCTTCCAGGTGCGAACCGGAGTCAGACAAGGATGCTTGTTGTCACCATTTCTCTTTCTCCTTGTGACTGATTGGATTATGAAGACATCCACTTATGAGCGTAGGAACAGAATCCAGTGGACGTTGTGGACCCAGCTTGATGACCTGGATTTTGCCGATGACCTTGCACTCCTTTCGCATAGCAAACAGCAGATGCAAGAGAAGACCAACGTAGTGGCAGCCATGTCATCACAGGTTGGCCTCAACATCCACAAGGACAAGACCAAGATCCTCAAGATTAACTCCATCAGTAATGACCCAGTCACACTGAATGGAAGCCCTCTGGAAGAAGTGCAGTCCTTCACCTACCTAGGCAGTATCATCGACCAACAGGGTGGCACGGACGCAGACATCAAAGCAAGGATCGGTAAGGCAAGAGCAGCTTTCTTACAGCTCAAGAACATCTGGAGCTCTAAAGAGCTGTCTTTGGCAACAAAGATTGGACTGTTCAATTCCAACGTGAAATCAGTCTTATTGTATGGAGCTGAAACCTGGAGGATAATTAAAACAACCACCAGGAAGATCCAGACCTTCATAAATAGTTGCCTTAGAAGGATTCTCCAGATCCGCTGGCCAGACACCATCAGCAACATCTACCTCTTGGAGAGGACCCATCAACTTCCAGCAGAGGAAGAAATTAGAAGGAGAAGGTGGGGTTGGATAGGACACACACTACACAAGCAGCCAACCAACATCACTAGACAGGCATTGCGGTGGAACCCCCAAGGCAAGCGGAAAAGAGGCCGTCCAAGAAACACCTGGCGACGTGACCTTCAGGCTGATAGCATAAAAATGGGCTATACCTGGAACCAGCTAGAGCAAATGGCCCAGGATAAAGGACTCTGGAGATCTGTGGTTGGTGGCCCATACCCCGACTGGGGTGACAGGCATGAGTGAGTGAGTGTTTTTACTTTTAAATTAATGGTCCAGACAGTCCCTCATGTGCTGCTTTCCCTGCTCTGCCCAGGGAGGCTTTGGAAATGCATTGAGTCAGACAGGATTACTCAGAATTAAATGAAATTTAATGTGGATAAATGTAAAGTAATGCACATTGGAAAAAATAACCCCAACTATACATACAATATGATGGGGGCTAATTTAGCGACAACTAATCAGGAAAGAGATCTTGGAGTCATTGTGGATAGTTCTCTGAAGACGTCCACACAGTGTGCAGCGGCAGTCAAAAAAGCAAACAGGATGTTAGGAATCATTCAAAAAGGGATAGAGAATAAGACGGAGAATATCGTATTGCCCTTATATAAATCCATGGTACGCCCACATCTTGAATATTGCATACAGATATGGTCTCCTCATCTCAAAAAAGATATACCGGCATTAGAAAAGGTTCAGAGAAGGGCAACTAAAATGATTAGGGGTTTGGAACGGGTCCCATATGAGGAGAGATTAAAGAGGCTAGGACTTTTCAGCTTGGAAAAGAGGAGACTAAGGGGGGATATGATAGAGGTATATAAAATCATGAGTGGTGTAGAGAAAGTGAATAAGGAAATTTATTTACTTGTTCCCATAATATAAGAACTAGGGGCCACCAAATGAAATTAATGGGCAGCAGGTTTAAAACAAATAAAAGGAAGTTCTTCTTCACACAGCGCACAGTCAACCTGTGGAACTCCTTGCCTGAGGAGGTTGTGAAGGCTAGGACTATAACAGGGTTTAAAAGAGGAATAGATACATTCATGGAGGTTAAGTCCATTAATGGCTATTAGCCAGGATGGGTAAGGAATGGTGTCCCTAGCCTCTGTTTGTCAGAGGGTGGAGATGGATGGCAGGAGAGAGAGATCACTTATGAAACCACTGGAGTCAGGGATGGAAGGGCCCTACAGGTCCCAATCCTATTCCCATTGAAGTTAATGGGGATATCTGCATGAGTGAAGCAAGCGTAGCTGGAATGTGTACATTAGTTCTGGGACCTGTATGCTAGTCCGGGGTTTGCATTACCATTTTCTACAGCTCTCTTTGGATCTTGATACTGCTGCCAGGGAAGCACATGGCAAAACTCTTATTGATCAGGACGGGGGCTGTTGACTCTAGAGTGTCACCACCTCCAAGAGGAGGTTAGTTTTGTTTTTGGCTTAGTGCTGGTGGCCTGTGATATACAGAAGGTCAAACTAGAAGATCTGGTGGTCCCGTCTGGCCTTAAACTCTATAATTCTCTGAATTCCCTGACTGCTTCCTATTGCTGCAGCCAACACATGGGAATCCCAGGCAACTGAACAACTCTAGAGGAGAAATGTAGCCAAGCAGAGAAATGGCCTGTTTGCAGGGAGGCCCGACCCATGAACCTCTGAGTGAGAATGGCTGGCTTTTTAGGACTTCAGGCAAGCTAGGAAAGTCCATCTCTTATTTCCCCATCATCTTCATGCTCTGCTTTCTTTAGCAAAGAGGAGAAATACCACAGAGAACCAAAACTCAGAGCAGCGGAGTATATCTGCCAACAAAGGAAGGACACAACAAGCAGCAGGAGGAAAAGCAGAATGGAGCCCCTCTTTGTTTCAGGAAGCAGTGTGTTTCAATGGTTAGGCCAGGGGACTGGGATCCTGGAGTCTACTCGCAGCTCTGCCACTGACCCACTGTGTGATCTTGGATAGGTCATTTAAGCCGCTCACTGCCTCAGTTTCCCCCATGTGTAAAATGGGAATACCAGCACTTGCTGTACTTACAACTTCTCACAGGAATGAGTAATTCTTGTAAGGGATGGGGAGACTAGAGGTGGGCAAAATGTTTTGACGTTTGAAATTTCAGTTACTTTGTTTTTGGGGATTCAGAGGGAAGGAAAAATCAGGAAAAAATTTCATGATTCCTTCCCCCCCCACACACACACCTTTTTTTTAAACCAGATCAGATGAGAAAGTACCAGATACTTCCAACGTGGTAATATTAGAATCAGATTTGTCCTCCAGCTAAAGCAGAGAAAGCTTAAAAAAGCAATACAATAGTGATGACCTGTCACTTAGAGTATGATAGACAGGTTCCCCCAGCCGCCGCACACACGCATACATGTCCACACACATACAGCCAAGATTAATACTCACAGAATCTATGATCCCCTGCAGGGCTTCAAAGCCGTCATTCACCGGGAAGACATGATCCTTGCTGTCAGCAATTCGAGCCAGCTGACAGAACAGCAAAAAATAGAAAAGCCAACAATGGTATAAATTAGCCAGCCGTCAGCAAATTAAAAGGAGTTCTTCAAATGCATACAGTTGCAAATAAAAATCAATACTCAATGGAGTGTGAATTGCTAATACGCTGTAACTCTTTGGAAATTAGCTAACAGTAATACCACGGGCCTGGTTGATTTTAAGGGACCTGTGGGAGTCAGAGAAGGTTTCCTGAAGTTGGCAGGTGAGAAGCAGAGGCCACATGCCCAAGGGTGAATGATCACAGAGCCAGCAGCAATAGGAAAGTGGGTAGGTAGTGGGAGGCGGTGGGTCTGTGTGAGGAGGGGGGGAAACAAAGCACAGGCAGCAGATGAGCATTTTGTGGTCCCCTTTGGCTGGAGAGAGAGAGGCCAGG